TTCTTGGCCCCTCTTACAGGTGCTTTACAGGGCATGTGTGTTTGATGGAGTTTGTAGTGTATGTGTAAATCGCAAATATCTAATACATTTGGTTACCTGAGTTCATGATTGGTAGTAATGAATGATAATAAGATGCACATGAATTTAATTTATAGCTTTGATTCTTATCAGGTTGTTTAATCTTTTACAGGAAAAATGTTACACATGTAACTTCAGTAATTTATTGGAGGAAATTGACCCCCAGATAAAACCAGTGTTTCTGAAATCTGTGTATATCAGTCCCGTTAAATATCTCCTCTATGACCCTTAAGACTAACCCCTAGTGAATTACATGCATTAGTTTTCACTATTTGCCATGTGATCTCATACTTAAACTTTTTTCCTTGTTTATTTTGAAATCTATGAGAATACCATGCAGTAAGAAGCTGTGTGTGGAGTTTGATGTGTATATTACTTGTTGACTTCTCATGTGTTAACATGAAGACAGGTGAGCAGGCCATGTTTGAAGTTCACACAAGATTGTTTTATGGAGAGAGCAGGGTGGGAGTGTTTGAACAAGCTTTTTGCCACTTATACTACTCTGTCCACTATACAAGTTTCCTGTAGCCCTTGAGGGTGACCTGTTCTAGCTTATCTCTGTGACCTTTCTTATCCTATTTCTCACAACAAGCACTTTGATCAAATATCTTATACACTTGGTAAACAAAAAAGTCTAATGGTGTTATGGCAACCAGTGATATGTCAGAATAATTTCAACTTATATTGAAAGAACTGGGGGGGTTGAGAATACCACCCTTCCTCAGTCCCTTAACTGGCACAAAAGTGTTTTTATAACTTAAGAAAAAACATACAAGTTTAACGGCCCCCTTATTGAAAGACCTTTCAAGAAAGCATTCACAGTAGGTTTTGTGCAAGTCCTATTGGCAAAAGGCAAGGAATGAATCAAATCATGTCTTCTATTGTGTTGTTGTGGAAGCCACTGAACGGTAACTGGCGTGCATATCACTCCAGGGATTCGAGTCGAATATTCTTTGAACATGGCATAAAAAACATTATCATTTTGATCAATACAGCTATCCATTTGCTTTATACAGGGTGATCTGATCGAGTATGGTAGAAGGTGCACTCTTCAAAACTGGGAATTTAGGACTTAGCCTTTAAGGGTGATTTTTGGATCTTTTAGGTTTATATTATTACTGATGTTTTTTTGCAGTAGTTGGTACTTGCTGGACGGATATCTCAATGTATAGTTTATGATGTAATTACTTGTATATATACTGCTCAACATTTGTAAGGTCCAACATAGTAATCTTTTATAGTGAAAGGTGTTGTCCTTAGCAAACGTTGAGTAGTATATTGACTTTATTTTTTAAACAACCCTTAACTATGCTGTGTTAATGTTTAAAATGTGATATGTTGTTGGATTCAGTGATAAGTAACCAGTTTTAAATGAACCCGAGAAGCACTTAGTATGTCTTTGCAATTAATAAGCTCTCATGTCAGCAGCTTGTTATTATTAATGTATCTTTCAAAGATATTTAACATTTGAGTATGTATATAAGGAAAATACACCACCAAGAGTTTAACACTTTAAATGATAAATATCAAGAATAAAAGTAACTTTTCTATATTGATTTCCAAACCAGGTTATTGAACTTTCAATGTATTCAGATAAGGCCAGTCCACCTAAACGTCACCCATTAATAGCAGGTAGTTTAAATGAGAGATTAATTTCAAACTTTTTATTCCCACTCTTAAAAAGATTGCAAAGATATGCTGTGACCTGTGCAGTCATGCCAACTTCAGTTTTGCTCATAGAAATGTTTCTAGCTATTCATCTATGCTTGGTTGCTGAACAGACAAAAGAAGCATTCTTTAAGACTTAGGTGTTCCTCTAAACATGTTTTTTGACGATCCTACTTTGTTATGAATGATAAAATGACAGTCACCACCGCCCAGCCAAGCCTGACTATATTTTAGCTCAAGCAACAAAAGGTACTTTTTTCCACTAGGGTCAGATCTTTTTTATTGACCTGAAATGGCTTTTGTATAGATTCTTCGTTAAATGAGGAAAACTTAGGTAGAGCTGAATAGATAAACCTTTATAGCTCTGTCATTCACTTTATGTACTTTGGCAAGGGCCATACATATTCAATAAAGTTACAAAAGTCATGGACCAATGTTTATTATATCTGGGTTTAAGGAGAGTTTTTTTCATTCTGCTAAAGCTGACACACCTAATAGTCCTTAAAAGTGCCACAAACATGGTGACATGGCTTTTCCTGGTGTGGAGGACATGTTATGGTGGCGTAAGTAAATATTTGTGAAATGATTGGAAATGTTATCCTTTACTTAATTTAAACAAGTTGCATTTAAGTTGTAATTCAGTTAAAATATTTGCATTAACGCTGACAAGGGTTGAAAGAGAGTAATCTGTTTACCTTTTACATGAATAATTTCAATAGAAATCCAATGAAACAATCCTATTCATGTCATGAAAATTAACTGGATACAAATTCATTTCATTCATTACATGTTAAACAGATGATTAGGCATAGAAATAATTCCCATGATGCAGGCAGTTCAATAGGAACAAGGTGATTCAGTTCTTTTATTGCATGAGGAAAAGAATAATACTCCAAAATACAAGTGTTGGATCCTGGGAGCTGTCTGTCCTCCGCTGGATTACTGGCTTCGATTAAGTCTGCGTGTAGCTCTGTCTTTTGTTTATTGCATGTAGGAGAGAATACGACATGGACCTATCCTCAGCTTATGTAGAATGACATTGGGCAGTTATCAGCTTCAGACGTTTGATGTCTGGTTTCATAAGAATGTCGTCTTGTGGAAGTCTTTGCTGTGACTGGGGATAAAACATATAGCAAGATTTGTCTGTTTGCATGTTCTAGAGTTGTGATGATGGATGTTTCTTAATCAGGGAATCTTGTGGAGCATGCATAGTCTGGTCTAAAACAAATCTGCACTTTGAAGATTGTGACTTTTGAAATTCAAATTTTACCTTGACTGTAAGTGACATTGTTAGAATATAAAATTTTGAAAGGAATTTCAAGATATCTTCCTTTTCCTTTAAAGATATGCAGAAGCTTTCTGGTTTTCTAAATAGGATCTTTGTATGAGATATAACATAAAAAACAAGCTCAACTATGAAAATATTTTGATGTTTAGAAACATGAAAAGACATAAGAAAGATGAAACTATGAGTTCTTTTCAAATTAGTTCACCTACATGAAACCTAGATGAGTAGTTGATCATCTTAGATTACTAAGATGTCATACTATAAGGTAAGATAAGGTTGAATTCTGCCCACAGGTGTTTTCTTGTATTTTCCATGTAACATCCCGATATGTTAGAAAGTAGTTAACCTTTGAAGAGGCTTAGCAAGTGATTGAGTTTCAAGGGTGATTGAAAGTGGAAAAAATAGTCCTATGATTTTTATGTTTCTCTAATTTGATTATGCTTCAAGGAGATTATCTTTCAATCAATAATATTATTGAGAAAATGATACTATTTTTTGCCCGAGGCTAGAATGTCTACATTTCTCTGAGAGTAAAAGAAAAGCAGATTCTTAAGATTTGTTTCTTGTACAAAGTAACTTCATTTATTGGTTTAGTGATATTACAACCCGTCTAAAAATGCAAAGGAAACATGATACTGATTAAAAACTGAAACCTTCTTATGTATCTTATCACATCTCTCTTTATGTATATTCCTGTAAGCAGTGTGTTATGACAGGGACAGCCTTCATGAACAGTCTACTTAAAATCATTTTGTTGGGATTATATTTCCAGCAATAACTTCAGAAAATTTGTCAGGGATGAAATATTGTTTTGTAAAGAGGAAAATAACTTCTAGGTTTACACAAATTGTGCTTAGGGTTATTGTCATGCGATCAAATTTTAATGTCATTTTCTAAAACAACATTCCATTTCTAATATGAGGATTGAAGTGCAAATTTTTGATTGACACCAGGATAATATTTATTTCATCAGGTATTGTGTTATTTTGTGCTATTTGTATAGGGAAATTCTTTTTTCAGCCATTGAAAGCAACATTTTAGTCAAGGTTGTCCAAATCCCTGACATTTAGGAGGAGAAAGGAAGTGAATGTTCATACATTGCAGCTTGAAAACATTTCAGTTATTTCTATTTGTTATTAATTCAGATGAAGTTTGAAATAAGAGGCTTTGTTTGATCTATATTGCAACCAAAGTCTACCTTTTTACCATCTGAAACTGAAGACAAGACTTGATCAGGCCAGGTTGTGTATTGTACTTTTCTCCAGTGAAAATCTCTAAATTCAATTCTTAGTCTACGTCTTTGTTTTGAAATTATTAAATCATTATCATTAATTCACGTTACTTTAGTAATACAAAAATACAAAATGAGTTTTAAACAATCACTGAAGAAACCTTATAATGTATTAATTGAGCTTTATGTAGTCCTCCATAAAGTATACTTATTTGCATTCATCATTTTTATGCACATGTTAGTGTTTTTGTACAGTATTGTGGTATTAGGACACCCAGACTACAGACAAAGGTTACCCTGTTGTTCTGTACCATGAACAGGCCTTTCTTCAGTTTAATTGTCATTGGCATTTATGGGATGAGACAAGGACTGGTTGGCTTGGAGTCAGTATACTGTATCTTAGTGGGGTATCAATGTTAAACTGCAGCATGATAACTTAGTGGACTAGCATTATTAAACCGGCATCAGTCCTTACTAGTGCACACATGCATGCACATTGTAAATACAGTAAACTACGGTTATAACGAACTGACGGTTATAATGAACTGACTTTTTTGGTCCCGAATATTTGCTGTAGTTATGCTGTATATATGCTTATAACGAACTACGGTTATAACGAACTAAAATTAGTAGTCCCTTTGAGTTCGTTATAACCATAGTTTACTGTATGGGCAATTATAGAATATGGCGTTAAACCTCTTTTCACCTCCCTCATAGAGTTTCTGTGTGTTTCAGGAGTGATGCTATTTCACCCAAGGTGGCGGATGTTCTTGAGAAGGTGATGTCAGCCGAGTCCGGTCTAGTGAACCACGAGGAGACGAGTCCACACTACACTGCTCATAACCAGTCTGCTGCTTACTCCAACCATAGCCAGGACAAAGATGAAGCACATGCAGGTCTGCCCCTGCTGAGTAACCTATACCACCAGAACAGCTTCTGCTCCTACCCGGACTCCACTTATTCCAGGAGAGATTCGGAACAGTCGGACTCAAGCCCCCAGTACAGTCACCCGCTGACTCCTAGTGACAAGTTCAGCTACCGTAGAGAAGAGACTGACAGTTCCAACCTTCCCAACCCGGACTCTAAGGTTCACAAGGACGAAGAGGAGCCGGACAGAAAACCAGGGCACCCATCATTCCACAACAGCTACAAGGCGGCAGATCTTGAGCCCCCTGCTCCAACCTCATTCTATGGCAATGCTCGTCCTTCAGAGGAGGACCAAGTGACAGAGGAGCCACCTTACCCAAGGAAGGAAGAGTCAGGAAGCCCTTTGTACAACAAACATTGTGAAGCTAATCCAGATGGACCTTCACTGACAAGGGAAGCTGACAGCAGAGAGGGGGAATTGGTGCTCAATGGGTCATTCTCCCAAGAACAGGATGAAGGGACCCAGAACACATCTCATCTGAACAGCTCCTTTAATGACTCCTACCATTCAGATGAGGACAGTTCTACTGAAGGGCTCAGGTCAGGCTTGAACGAGTCTAACTCTGAGCATCTCCTACCAGAAGACTACAAGAACTACTCCTTCCATGGAATTACCTCCACCCCCCTAGCTTCTCCTGGTTACCTTGGAAACAGACGATTCTCACTGACATCCAACCCCAGGTCTATAGACCCCTCCTCTCCAACTTTCAACTCATACTCAAAACAAACAGGACTCTACTTCTGTCATCTGTGCAGCTTCTCAGGTGAGGGAAATACACAGTCATCTGTTAAATATCTTTGATATCACAGCTTAGTTTCGAATTCTTAGGTTTAATTGTTATGCTATTATTAAAACTTAAAGGCAGAGCATTTGGACACGGGTCTTATTGTTTTTCTTATTATTTCCTTTTTTTATTTGAATTGTTGAGGCATTAAGGAACTAATTTACAGCTGGAATGTTTCCCTATAGATATTAGTGGTCACTGTGTAAGATTAAGAATCCTTCCTAAATACCCAGTCCTACTGAAAATGTCATGACAGCAGGTAATAAAATATCTTGGAAATCTTTTGAGGTTGTAATAACCCGTTTCAAAATCATAACTTAATGTGTAAATATTGTGTTAAGAATTACTGTACATCTTATTGATTCTTTTCAAAGAAGGATAATGTCATGACTTTTCCTTATAAAACTGATCTACTTTTTTCTTCGATTTAGACAGAATGTAGATCCAATTTCACATCGAGTTATGAAAATGTGATGTTTATTAGCATGTTTTGTGACTGTCGAGTGTTAGAAGTATGGCCTTGACGTGGTTTGTAAGCATAAGCTGCACACATTAATCAATAAGGTGTCCTCCAGTTCGGATGGAGCAGTCCCTTGCATTAAGTCAGCAGAGAAGATTACATCCATGATTGTCTAGGTGTTGGTGTCACTGACAGCATTACTTAATATGTTTGTCTTTTCATGTCTAGTACAGTTTAGACAGCTTGTGTGGTAGCATGTTAAGTGAGATTAATTCACTTCGGGGAACCAGTCTTAACATGACAAGAAATATGTTACAAAGAAAACTATCAGATTGGAGGTGATTTAGTTCATATGAATTTTACAGGGAGTTTATTTACCGGCATTAATTAATCGCCTCAAAAGATGTGTGTGAAATCTTCATTGTCTCTTTTCCTTTTTCCAGCAAAATGCAAAGATGACTTTGATGCTCACATGAGCATTCACTTTGAGTACAGTTGCCCACACTGTGACTACACTTCTCGAACTGAGGGGAGACTCAAGCGACATATCAAAGACTTCCACTCCAGTGATTCAGACGGCTTTGGAACTGCTAAGATGCAGAGGATGCAGCCTGGCAGACCTAAAGTGTATCGGTGCAAGCAGTGCAGCTTTGCTTCTACTACTAAGGTATGTTCACTCACCAGATGCAATGTCAGTTGAAATGTCAAAGTGGTTATAAGATATATATCGAAATGTGAAAGTTGATATTTCTTTAAAAAATTTCTCTAATTATCTCGGTTGAATTGTTTTCTTAAGATCGGGCAGATGATTTTCAAAATTGTTTAATATCAATGGTGTCATTAAAAATATCTTTTTCTACCATTCAGTGTTTTGCTAAGCAGACACTGAAACAAACGGTTAACCAAGGCATTACCAGGCTCATCCTTTTACCGTCACCTATGTAATTTTATTTATTTCCCTTCCATTTATGCAACATTGTTGCCTTCTCTTCTGAGTGAGTGAGTGAGTTTGGTCTTATGCTGCTTTAAGTAATATTCCAGCAATTTCACATTGGGGAACACCGGACATGGTACCCATGTGGAGAATCGAAACACAGGTCTTTGGCGACATGGGCAAACGTTTATCCACTAGGCTACCCCACTGCACCCTTTCTCTTCTGAAACTAGTGTATATTTGAATTATGATCCCAATGATGTTGTCATTAAAATGGGCTCACAGATGTTTGATCTTGTTTTAAGACAGAGGTACCATCTTTATTTAACACTAGGGATACTTATTTATTCATATATTACTTGGAATGTTACAGTTTTGTTATATATTATTTTGCAAATACTTCTAAATCCAGGTGAAGAGACACTGTTTTTGTTTTGTAATAAATATATGTGTGTGTTGTATTTTCAGGTGGACTTCTGGCAACACTCCCGCAGCCACATCAAGGAGGAGAAGCTGCTCCAGTGCCCACGATGTCCGTTTGTCACAGAGTACAAACATCATCTGGAATATCATCTTCGTAATCATTTCGGGTCCAAGCCATTCAAGTGCAACAAATGTAATTATTCATGTGTCAACAAATCCATGCTCAACAGCCACATGAAATCCCATACCAATGTGTATCAGTATCGTTGTGCAGACTGCACCTACGCCACTAAGTATTGCCATAGTCTCAAACTCCACCTGAAGAAGTATAACCACAAGCCTGCAGCAGTATTAAATGCAGATGGGAGCTTGCCTCAAGGTCTGGAACCAGAAACCTCTGGTTTATCACTTCTGGCGAAGAGAGGCCCACCAAGAGGACCACGAGGTCCTAGAAAGGACAAGATGGACCAGTACATGAGTCCTCTATTCCACCTACCTCAGTCCTCCATCCCAGGCATGCATCCAGGCTTGAACAGTGGCCTCATGGCTCCCTACTGGCCTCTGCTGAATGGTATGCAACCACCCCCACCTCTCATACCTGTCAACAACATGCCTGGGCAGATGAGGCCTCCACAGTCACCACAATCATCATCCCCTGGAAAATACAGCAAAGGTGAGCTTGGCTCTACAAAGTGCAATTTGTGCAGTTTCAAGGCAGATTCACCAGAAGGTCTCCATGCCCATGTGTTGAAGGTTCATGCTGCTGGAGAAAACCAGGACCTCTTCAGCATGTTTGGGATTTCTTCAGAAGCTCTGTTGGATGAACAAAATCTCAAAGCTCACCTTGCTCGCCAACGGTCTTTGACGAAACCAGACAGAGTAGTCACTCCTACATCAAGGCACAATACCATGCTCCATGTCCAAACTGACCAAGGCAGTACCCCCAGCAAAACCAGTCCTCATTCATGGCCTGCTAACCAGCTAGGCGGTCACCCACATCAACCAAACACCAGTCGCAGCCTTCCTGAGTTGGCATATTCCTCCAGAAATGGACAGGATCCTACTTCTCCTCAAGAGCCTGTAGAAGGTGCTGACATTCTTAAACAGATGACCTTGAAGTTTGGTGGTGGTGGTAGTGCTGTAACTCCAAGGATACGCAAAGAGTCCCCACTCGATCTCACAAAACCAAAATCAGTCTCCCCACCAGCCTACTCACCTTTGAGTGGTATGCATCATATTCTGCCTCATGACACACCTCTGATGCCAATCAAGAGACCATTCCAAGAAGTTGATGTCCCTTCAAGTAATGACTCCACAGAAAATGCTGTACCTAGTCCTAGGAAGAGATCTCGCAAGGGCAAGGCATACAAGTTAGACACTTTGTGTCTCAAACTCCAAGAGAAGCAATCTGGTTCTCCCTATGACAGTGAAAGTGAAGAATCTAGCAGTGAAGTTCCTCCACAAGAATATGTTACTGAAACCAGAACACAGTCAGTTGAAGGTAGCCCAAATGGAAGAGGAGAAAGCCCAGGCTCACTTAAGGTTGAAAGAGGAAAATTTTCACCTCCACACAAAGGTGATGAAGACATGGCAAATGGTCTTACATCCAGCCCTGTCACACATAAAAATGACTTTGAACAAATTCACGAAAATTTGAAAATACTTAACAGTGGCATAAAACCAGAACCCCAGAGTCCCAATGGAGACAGTCACAGTAATTTTGAGAATAATGATCAAAGAGAGACTCCAAGCCCTGACAATGGTATGAACAAAGCCAATATGCCCAAAGATTACGAAGGCAAGCCCCGCATGATTTCAGAGTACATGAGGCATCAGAAGCCACCCATGACATCTGCACTGAGACGTGGAGCTGAACTGGCATGGAAGATCCTGCAGGACTCTGGACCAGATGGTGCCCCAGTGCAGAATGGGGAAATTGTGTTAGAGAATCCCCCCAATGGACTGCATCCACTGAGGACAGACAAGTCCCTCACTCTTCCAAGCGAACTGTCCCTAAATGCTCTCAACCACAGCAAGACGAAGCCCTTCCGTGGTGCTGACAGTTTTGAGTGTCACTACTGTGAGATAGCATTCCGGGACTGTGTCATGTACACCATGCACATGGGTTACCATGGTTACCAAGATCCTTACAAGTGCAACATGTGCGGTCACTGCAGTAAGGACAAGGTGGAGTTCTTCCTCCACATCGCACGAGCTGCACACAACTAAACTGTCAAGCACTGTCTGTTATGGCTTGCTTATAGTATGTCTGTCATAATATGCTTGGACACGCCATGTTCATCCTGTGATTCTGCAATGGACTTGTAACAGTGATAAGGCTGCCGAGAATGTCTTGGTAGTCGATGTAGATTTGGTATGCACCATTGACCATGTGATTCAGATTCTTGCAGTTACTCCACAGTTTCACCATTATTTCATGTTTTGATTGTATCTGTTAAGATTCTAGGTTATTTAATCCTGTATAAAGATTATGTTAGATATAATATATATGTAAATATGGGAACTATGCGCAGGAAATGCCATTTAACTAGTCCACCAAGACCATCTGAATCAGTTCACAGATGTTGGTATGTTAGTTTCACTGTTGTTGAACAAGTTGTTTTTTCCAATCATTTTGCCACACTCTGAACATTCACTGTGTCATTGGTGATGTAACTGGTTACAAACGTAGCAGAGCCATAACAGACACAACCTGAAATGTGCAAGAAAGCAGCGTTCCCAGTGGGCATAAGAGGCTGAAAGGAAAACAGTCAAGTATGGACTTTATCACGTGCCTCATTGGATGGATGTTCATCTTCTGCTTGGCACATGTTGACTCCCTGATGTGACCTTGAGAGGTCATCTAACTACCTCATGATCTTCCCATGTTGGCCGGCACTTCGGACAGATGTACACAAGTTGGCGTCCATGGACTATAATACTGAGGTGCTCCTAGTCCTTCCTGGCTTCAGGAACCTGTGGTACAGCCGTTGTCAACTTAGCTCCCTGCAGGGAGAGAACATATAGCTTGTGGTCCAGTCACTGTAACATTGTAGCAGAGTCAAGCTTTAGCTGCACCTCATGCTAAACTATTGATGGGAGTCCCATAGAGTTCTTTGTGTTGTATGCACAGGTTGATGCATAAGGAATCATGATTTTTATCGTTAAAGCTCAGGTTGAAAACTCATGATTTTCATTTTAACATCAGTATTGTTTTGGAGATGAATTACACCAATTAGTGCTGCATAGCTGTCCTTTGTATGCTCTGTGAAATGGGGAAGGCATGATTTGGGCACGGAGTACACATCCTGACCAAAGATATGTTATCAGTCACAGGACTTAGTTGGGAGATAGGAAACGTAGCCTTACCATTTCGCAAGGTGTAGAGAACAACAGATGAAGTGAACAGCTCAACACAGAGTGATGAGAGCCATTTGTTACCCTATCTGCTGCATATAACTTGGCTTTTAGCATGTGTAGTCGTAGTTTAGCCATTTAATTTATGTTGATTTTTAGCTTGCCTGGTCAGCTAATTGTTATGACTTTATACCGAATAGGTATAATGAGTGTTACTATAATTTATGATTCCTCTCCTCGGTGCTCATAATTCATTATTAATTAATTTGTCATTACTTGTAGATGCTTACTGTATAGCCACTGTCTACCAGATTTGAAAATGTTGTTCAAATCCGAGATGATAATATGCAATGATTCAGCACTTTGTGCACGTCTCAATTGACTTACAATAATTTGTTGATTTCTCAAGCTTTAATCTTTTCTGTTGTATTGTGCTGATTGTCTCCCCCTACGCACCTCTTCCTTTCCCTTTAGCATAAGATGTATTATGCTTGTACGAGGAATTGCAACCAGATAGTGAGAGGGTGTTTGTGTCACAGGCTGAATGGAGGGAGAAACGGTCCAAATTCTAAATCTTCAGCTTGTAACTATTTGATTAGGTATTCATTTAGAAGCAAATGAAATATTTGTTTGGTGTTCACGTTCATTCAGCCTCTTGTCATGAAACATATCTTGTGTATTGGTGTACATTCACGGAAGGAATTTGATTGTTTATGAAACACTCCAAAGCCATCTTCATCACCTTTCATCTTGTTACGATTTTCTACTCAGGGGATATTAAACATAACTTCATCCAGAGCTCATTACCAAGGCAACCCTACCACTCTCAACGACTGCAAAATATGCTCCTGTTCATGTTCCTGACAAACCTTGGGTCGGAGGACCACATCCAACACTGGTTAATATGATGAGAAGGTAGTTGGGTTTGCATCATTTAGAAACACTCAGATTTCCTCATCGAATGTATCATATCTACACATATATCCTATTTATTTTGTTGTTATGGAGATCAGCCAATCTGGTTATATTCTGCAAGAGTAAGTTATACTTGTATACACCTTTCTCTCCAAGTGTTTCACTAAGCGTCTACCTCATGTTGGTTCACCAACAGTCTGTTTTGCATAAATAACCTTCACCCCTGTTAATATCTCATGGTATTTTTCTCACTGTTGCCATATGTCTCGCTCATGTTACTCATTCAAAGGGAGATAACTGCCATTTCCCTTCAGTATTACTCTTGTGATGTTTCCTCTGATAGCTCAATATCTGTTCAAATCTGGGGGCAGAGAAATATACTATTCCCCTGTATCAATGAGTTTGGGGACCCTGACAAGTATTATAACACCCTTTGTTCTGTGTACATTTTCACAGATTCTGTAATGGGGCTCTCGAGCCTGTCGTAATGTTGCATATTCAGCTGAACTGTGTATGGCATTTTCAGGTATTTCAAAGACTGGTGGGACAATTAAATTGATTTAATAGATGATTATGTCATAGGCATGCTCAGATGAACATGTAAGTTTGATTGGAGGAAACACGTTTTACCTAACGATGGTTCACGCTGTAGCTGTTTGTGGATATTAGTGGGGAATTATGAACTATTTGTGGGCAGTTTGTCCATTGTTTACCAAAGGCCAGTCCAGCACACTGTGCGGTTTGTTGTACATGTATCATACTGTTAGCACTCGGACACAATCTTATAACTGTAGCTAATGATTATTACTGATTTCTGTTGAATAATTATTGTATATTTGTAGCTTAATTAATTTATGAATTACTTTCTAATCATGCCTAGGCATTTCACTGTATGTATTTTAAAGCAATTATCAAGCCAGTTTTGTCCTTGTTGTTGCAAGTGCATTTGGGTGATAAAATATATGCAATGCACCAATCTGTCTTTGAACCCTTAATCTGCTTTCACTCCACCTGCCTGCCCCTTTTTTATTTCTAAAGGGAGATAACTCTCTCAGTGAGCTATGATGGATGTTTAACCACTGTTTATTGCCTCATGACCGAGTCCTCTCCTCTTTTATCCATGTATTTTTCTGCAACTTTTGAAGATTTTTGTATTGGGCATTGAACAAGTTAAATCTCTTTTGAGCAGAAATCCAGACCATTTCGAAACATTGGCATATCAGAACATGTCCCACATTACTGGCTGCAAGAATTTTGTTAAACTTTCAAAGGCATATTTTCTTTCTCATCACATATGCAACATTCTAACAGTGGATTTCAACCTTGCCTCAAAGACTATATGTAAAAATTTACATCCCATATATACGTATAAATATATATACATATTATATATACAATTGCCATTGTTTTCACATATTGTATGTTTCAAGTTCATAAATAACAGTATTCTGATAATATTTGAGCTTATTTCCTCCCAACAAGCTTCAGAGATGGGGTCCAGGGTTACCAGTGATGAAACAATGTTAAGTTGAAACGGTTCGACATCGAAGGCGCACCCTGTGTACACACCTGATCTGGGATGTATACAGTGTGGCCCTCATGTTGGTGCCATTGTAGAATGTTCTACTTACTTTGAAGTCAACAAAACTCAGACAAAGCAAGCATGTAAGGAAAATAACTTCATTTCTCAGAGTGCCAAATGGTTAATGAGGTAGAGAACCAACCAGAGTCAAGTCATGAAAGTGCCATCTTGTTAGATCTCTGCATTGTAGCATATAAACTCTTGTCAATTTTCCCAGCTATTTCATCTTACAATTAACAGATTGGAGAGTCGTCAAACATTCCTTAATTCCTTTGGAGAAAGTATTGTTGAAGGGCAACCAACCAACCATTCCAAACCGTCATCAGTAATACATTCAGTAGCATATTGTGATCAAGTTGACACCGGTGATTTGCTTCAACAGATTACAAAGATATTGCTTTGTTATACTTCATCACTATTTTGATAGGTATTGTATCTTCTCACTGCACATTAAGTAACAAACTCACACATCTTCCTGCTGTAGCTAAATGAGAGCGACCAGCTTCCTCTGTGGATATTGTAAGCATGCTCTTGGGCCACCCTGGACGCCATCTTGGAAACTAAACGGGTATCTTATTCTTGTACATGGTGATAATACTACGAGGCTTGTTGGCTGGAATGGGCTGTTGATCTCATATGATTACTGTATTTGGATTATGTGTTAATTGTGTGCGATTGGAGAATGACCTGACTACATCTGTACTCCTGGCTCCTTTGCGTCGGAGCTGGTTGGTTTGAGATGCCAGGAAACCACAGGGCCATCTTGCGCCACCAGCACTGTCCAAGGGGCCATTCGTAGTCACCCTAGGTGAGCCTCTCACATAGTGTTATTGCTACGTTCATCATATCTGCAGTTTTGATTGTAATGACAGTACATATGTTCTTGCTCCGACTGTGTTAACTGAACTACCTGGCAGGATAAGCGGTCCTCCCTCCGTTCCCCCCTCGTGTGGTGGGAGGCGGCAGGGAGGACCCTCTTTCTGTTGCACCTACAGCAGCCATTGATTCTTCTTATTTTGTAGTCCCCGTTGTAGATGTACAGATTATTTCCTGTCTGTAGCATCGGATCATTTCATGAATGTCATGTGTTCGTGAGGAATAAAGTCTGGTGTATTGTCATCCTTCTCTCTGTGTTTTGTAACTCCAGTATAATGCTCTGTTCAGTAACATTTGTTTGTGTGTTGTTTAACGCAGCACTCAGCAACATTCCAGCTATATGATGGACGTCTGTAAGTAACCAGACAACTCAGTAATTGACATGAGCATCGAGCCACGCAATTGGAATACGATGACATGCATCAACCAAGCCTGTCAGCCTGACGAGCCGATCCTGTTAGCTGCCTTTCACTGTAAGCATGGGTTGCTAAAGGCCAATTCGAACCCGGGTCTTCTTCAGTAACAGAGGGAGTGAATGCTGATTTTGTCGCAGGTACACGTCCGCAGAGGTGTGACGTACATGCGCGTGTGCACTAATCTGGACCAATACTGGTTTTATAGTGCTAGCCCTCTGAGATACCATGCTGCAGTTTAACATGGATCCCCCACTCAGACAGTTTTCTGATTCTGAACTGACCAGTCCTTGCTCTTGGTATGATGCAGCCAGGATTTGAACCACTGAAATACTCACTACAACATGCAGGCAATCTCATGATAAATAAAATCTGGGCCAGGCAGACAGGTTGATAGCATGAGTAAACGAACCATGCGACCTGATCGGATCTGTTATTCAGACTTGACCTACCGTATTCGATGTAATAAGCGCCCAGTGCGACAATATGCTAAGATATTGGTTTGTGAAAAATCCCAATTAGCACCCCTTCCGATTGATCAATGTACACGAGACTTATTTATTAGCGTATAATACTTGTGTGTTATATGCACCCTTGATTATGGGCATTTAACTCTGGAAAAATATATCTGTCGTACATAAATATTTCAGGCTGTCAGCATAAACCACGAAATGTATCTTTCAACATTTTTTTTCCACCAAAATAATATTCTAATACGAGCCCCCTATTTCTAATTTTGAGAGCGCCCTGGCCGCTTATTACGTCGAATACGGTAATTGTGTACCATCGATGTTGGACTTTGCTCCTAATATCAATCACTGGTTTGTCTGCTCAGTGTTGTATATTGGCATGATATACTACTACCGTACAGCAAAATACATAATTCCTACCATCTCACTTGCAAAATTATGTGCAAAAGGCACCACTAAGTGAGTGCATGCCTGATGTGTATACAAAGTTTCATGAACAAATATTGAAAGATTTACGCTTTCTGCATTGAAAATGAAAAGACGGTGCCCATTTCTATATCCCCTTTTGTTTGAGTGGGGAATTATATAGCAGTTTGATCCAATAATAGTTTTCACATTTCTCAAAAATCTACTGTTTGACTGATCTAACTTCCCTGAAATCACAAACAGGAAATGCCAAGTAAGAGGACAATTGGTGGTTTCATGCATGTGTAGTCACATGATGTGGCTCACTAAACATCAGCCCATCTGCTGTTACTGAAATCAGCATTATCACTACATAGTTCAGATAATACTCGACTGGGGACTGTCAAAACTGCTTATTCAACTTGTGCCCAAAACCAAGGCCACTACTGACATGGTATGCATTGAGACACCAATGTAAACGGAAAATTTGATATCCATGCTGAACTTTGTATGTCACTGTTGCAAGGAATGTTGGATTAAGCCAGTGAACCTGAGTCTAAATAAACTCCTGAATGTCCAACGGAAAACAGGTCACATTACGTATAATGACAGCAAGGCATTTACTGGTGCTTTACAGTCACATGCTTATCTCATCAAGTGACCTGACAATATTAATACTTTCTTGAATGAAAATACAAACACAGGTATGTAAGGGGGTTGATCAACAAAGATAACATGGCCGAACTAAGGGAGACAACTCCGCACAGCAAATGTTAGTCCTTATTTCTGTGGGCTGTATAAAATGGAATTTAAGTGAGTGAGTTGGGTTGTTATTAACAGTTTTCAAGTTTTATCACTGCATGTCAGCTTAATGTGGATGGAAATTCAAAGTTGGTTGGTTGGTTGGTTTGTTGTTTAACGCCGCACTCAGCAATATTCCAGCTATATGACGGCGGTCTGTAAATAATCGAGTCTGGACCAGACAATCCAGTGATTGATATCAAGAGCATCGATCCACGCAATTGGGATCGATGACATGTATCAACCAAGTCAGCGAGCCTAACCACCCGATCCCGTTAGTCGCCTTTTACGACAAGCATAGTCACCTTTTACGGCAAGCATGGGATGCTGAAGACCTATTCTACCCCGGAATCAGGAAATCCAAAGTGGTGCAGGGCTTAGTTATTTCTACTGAAGACATCAATGATGCTGATGAGCACAGGTATGGTACTGACAAACTAAGGATCAAAATCTGGGAAAATGTGGGACTCAAACCCAGGATCATTGGTTCCTGTCATGACTAAGGGAGGCAACTCCTTTATAGACCGGCCATACTGACAGGGAATAAAAACAGTGTTTTACCATTATCTCAGATAGTTCCCCTGAAGAATGTTCCCATAACAGGCCCCACATTAATCAACTGTATACACTCTGCAAGTAGACAAACATTTTAAGAGTTCAATATTTCTTGGAGGTAGCTCCTTGTAACTTCTAAGAAAGTCATCAAGCGATACCTATACCTAAATATGCACACCAGCATTGAGTGAGTCTGGTTTAATGCCGTTTTTAGCAATATTCCAGGAATATACGCCAGAACTGGTCTTCACATATTATGCCAACTAGATGAGCAACTGCTTTAACTACTTGGCTACCCCAATGCCCCCGTTTTGAGTTCAGATAAGCTGATAATGTAAGCTTGGTTTTGGAATGAATGTTCAATGACTTCCTTTAATCTTATTGTGTAAAACAACTTTGTTGTTCCTATGACACATTTTAGATATAGAGAATCTCACCCAAGGGTCAATGGATATCAAATATATCAACACAAGTTGATAAAAGTGGGGGAACTCCGAGGCTTGCCCGAGGTTTTTTTTCTACTTTTATCAACAAGCGTTTATATATTTGATATCAAAAGACACGAGGGTGAGATTTCATTTATCTTCCAACATCATTCTTCCAACTTTTTCAGTTTGTAGAAAGTGATAAACAGTGTCTTAAGTGTAAAAAGTACTGCTAACAGCTTCAGTCACTCTCCTACCCAGAGTTCCATGCGGCCCGCAGCCAGCCAGCATAGTACCTCTGCCACAAGCCAGCATCATGTGACGATTCGTCACATCTTTCAGTCCATTCAAGATATTGCATATGCTTTTCATCTGTTTCATGTTTGACAAGTCTACACATTTTCAGGGGGCACGGGTGGCCCAGTCGTCTAAGGCGCCGCGATTCACTGTGCAGAGTTGCATCCCTTGGGCACGCCAGAAACCTATGATTGTGGGTTCAAATCCCGGTTTGCCCCGATTATGTTTCTAGGTTTGTCAGCACCATACCCGTGCTCGTGGGTTTCACCGAAGTGGTAAACATCTGATACCTGCATCACTCCGGGCTTTCCTCCCACATTAAGCTGACACGCCGCGATACAACTGGAATACTGTTAAAAGCGGCGTAAAACCAAACTCACTCACTCACTACACATTTTCATAAACAAATGTCAAAGAATGGTTACGGTTCATTAAGAAAGTATCCTTATACATGAACATCTATTTGTTTTTGCGTAGTTATCCTTTGTTTACATTGGTTGTACGGCTCCATGTGCTGTCATCGAAGCCCAGCGGAGAGCTAGCGATACGGTCACTTTGATGTATAAATATATATTGTCATGCAACTCACTGTCGTAGTTGTAGTAGCATTTCTATATAATTATGCAAAACAATATGTAAAGTGCCACCAACTTCTTGCATTAGTCCGATTTATACTGATCTCTGAAAAAGAGTGTTTGTTTACAAACAAGAGAAATGTCCGGTCACGTGATATTCAAATTAGCCTGTGGCAGCGGTGTTATGCTGACTCACCACTGCGCCGGAGTGTGAGCTTCAGTAGCAGAGCCATTAGTGATGTCATTTGATTGTGACGTCATGGTAACCAATGATGTCACAATGGTCTGCAAAGCATTATGATGCAATTTCATTGCAGCGATATCTACAGTATAGATATCGCTTGATCTCACACAAGCAATATCTCCTGTGGGAGCCAGTTTGGGATGATAAGTAATGCCTTCTTGGTCAGAGAAAGGCTCAGTAAAATCACACAGTACTTTGTACATCAATTCCTGAAGATTACACACAACACATGAACACCAGAATTAGAACTAGAATTTTATCATCTTTAACCCTCTCCCTCATCATCATCTTCACTGTCATCTTCTTGTCCATCATCATTGTTATTATTATCATCATCATCATCAGCAATGTCGTCATCTTCTTCCACATCAAGCTCTTCCTCCGACTTCTCAGGAGCTGCAACAAAAATATGACTGGTCAAAGGGAGATAACACAGTCACATCTCTTGAAAGAAGCAGTTGTAAAATCTTCTGAGAGCGAAAAAGGTTTCACACATTGTACCCACAAGGGAAATCAAACCTGATCTTTGGCATGACGAACCTTACCCACATTCCCATCTATGTGGCAGCCTATATAAAAGAGTATTAAGTAAGTCTAAAGTCATTACCTGTTCTTGTTAAGAGATGACTTCTGGCCAACAAATAACCCATCAGCTGGGGTGTAAACACGGCTCAATGACATCTACATATTATCTGACGGCCTGTCATTACCCAACCTATTTACTCTCCTAAATATACAATGTTGATTTATTCAAACCAGACTCTAGGTTGAAAACTGATTGAATTATTTTAAACAAATATATTACTGTGTCCAGTTTGTATGTGGACACCAAGACGACAAGGGACATAACTCCTGCTATGGTACCTTTGACCCTGACCTCTGTCATGCAGATTAAACTTTTGATTCAACACAAGTATGTTTTAGACAGACTTCACTACTGCCTACTATCATAATCCTACATGGTGTTTTGTCAAATTGACCTTGAAAACCACATTTCTACTAAACATATGCCACAACAAATATATTTTCCTGGTAATTCGTCATTATATATAGGATAA